CTCAGGATACTATAAAGTGGCTTTAGTTATGATTTGTCCTGCGCATCTACATAATGACAATACACCCTTCTCTTGCCAAACGTACACGGCATGAAAATTCGCTGAATCTGAATTCGCATCCAAGTTTTCGGCCATCATCTGGCTTGGTGTTTGTATGGCTGCCGCGAGGGTTTCGTTCAATGCCCACGTCAAAATCTACTTGGTATACACATCCGCGTCAGCAAGTCGAGTCTGTCCCTAAAATATTTGTGTGTGTATGTGGGTTGGTGCCACAGAATGTGAATATCAAAATAATAAACTAATTTAATTAAAAGGCAGCAGCTGCAGCCGCAGCAGCAGAAGCTATGGAGGCGAATTGTTTCGGGCATTCGGGCACAGGTTGGGAAATCAGGTCGCAAGCTCAGACGGACCTCAGTCTGAGTTGTTGAAACTGAGAACTGCACCGAAAGTGGCGTGGCCAGTTATCAGTTACCAATCCGATTGGGGAGTCTGCACAATTATCCATGCACCAAATAGTTTTTTGCTTGGCTTGAATGGCAAATTATATAAGCCGCTAACAGCTTGCTACATATGACAAGTACTATGGGGATACCCTCACCCAGGGATTCAGATTAGGTGTGATACTCCTCCACCTCCTCCTGAGGTGTTAACCTCAGTTTGGTGGCCCCTCTATCGCATAGATGCCATAGATGATAGAAATTAGCCGCTGGAAATTTGGTTTAGCGACCCAATACCGTGGTACTTTCAGTGCGATGACATCTAAGAGTGTTCCCAGCTGCGCCTTCCGATTGGACCCAAGTATTGGGCTGGAATGGGCTCCACGCACCACTTAGCAGCAAGTGCCAAGCCAATGCCCGTCAGACAAATATTGCGTATACGCCGCATGTGGCCAGGAGATAATTACAGCACTTAGACGCAATTCGCGGCGATTGTGCCTGGGATTTTTAATAGCTCGCTCGCTTGTCAAATGATTTCCTCAGCCGCACAGAGTATGGTGACCGACACCGGGATCCAACCAACTTGAAATGATCTTAATAACTAAAAGGTATACAAGCTTAAGCTGCTCCAGAATACCACTGCCTGAAAGTGCATGAGCGTATGAGGTATGCCTCACCCATCAATTATTCCCACATATAACATAAAACACAAATACGATCTCTGCATGAATTCAATAGAAAATATTTATCTGTCTGTATCCTCTGGCATTATGGTTGTTTGGAGCAGCCCAGTCCCATCATGATCTCGTTAGCAAAACATAAAATTGAAATGAAAAAAATTCCAAGGCAAGTCCTCCCTTGTGCTGCGGAGGAGGGGAATGTAAAATCGAGACATAATAAATTCGCAGATTGCACAACAATTTAACGCACAATGGAGGCGTGGCATGTCGGGGGTAGCACTGCTACAACCCGCCCACTTGTCAAACGGTTTTTGCAGTCGCTGCTGTGACTGACGCAACCCCACCCCCTCCCCCCGAAAGCCATGAAAATTCTCAGAAAATATGAAAATGTAAAAATCTAAGAATGGAAATTAAATGAACAGCAACAAAACGCAACGGCCCGGTCCCACAGACAAAAGCAGCTCCCATATCTGGCCTAAAGATCTCAAAATGTTGTTGTTGTTGTTGCTGCTGGTTCAAGTAGTGGTGGTGGTGGAAGCGGAGGTAGAGGTGTGGTTGCGGTCCGCCTTTTGCTTATTGATTTTGTAATTGAAGGTTAAATTCTAGTGCTCTCCGGCTCCCACAGCCGTGACAGCGTGAGTGTGTGTGTTAATAGCTCGTAATGGCAGGACGTTGCTCCAGTTTCGGGTGAACGGTGGTGCACGTCTCACTCGGGAGGGGGGAGATGCACGTAGACGAAGAGCACGCCCTCCAGTAAGTTTGTTGCACTCCACTCTTCAATGGCACAGCGCCATAAGGCGGGCGGACAGGAAGGCAAGGGGCTCAAGCAGATGCATTAGGTGTGCGATTATAATTGTGGAACGAGGGAGAGGGGTCTAGTTCGACACTCTTACTTCTGCACCTCTCAATCAGCGCTTGAAATTATCTCCCAGAGAGACGGAAATAGATAGAGAGATAGAGATACAGCTTTCCAGGAGGCTGCTGATCGATCAGATATGAAAAATGACTGTACTGAAGCTATAGGTCTTGGGTTAGAGTACAATTGACCGACACCCGTAATTGATGGACAGCATAGATGTGGTCTAGTCTGTTTTGAAGGGCGGACTCCACTTAGTCCACTTCCCCCCGTCTCTGGGACATGTATTGATATCGCTATTGATATCGATGTCGCGCGCTGACGTTTTGCTGTCAGTGCATGCCGGTCATTAATCTTCGCCTCTTGGCTATCCATTCCCTGAAAAATGCCAGCAAAAAGGCAGCAAGAGAGCGGCACCATGTGTGATGATGGTCGAGTCTGGCAGAGTATTTAGGCAAATGTCACCAGGACCCCCGCAAGAAAAGCCACAATGGGAATGTGGCAACAATGGCGCAATATATGGCAGTGGATGGGGGGTGGCAACGGCAACGGCAACGACAACAACAAAAAAGAGATGTTCATGTCCTGACGATGCCTTACCCTCCAAATGGGAAAGAGATCGATCTGTTCTGCCTAAATTGAAATTGGAAATCTTGTCGATCGAAGATCTTTTAGCCCTACAGTATATGTATGGAATATTCGCCAGTTCGTCAAAAGGGGCCTATTGTGTGCCTCTTGTTGTTCGTTTCTTTTTTTCTCTCTCCTTGTTGTCTGCGCCTTTTGACCCACATAGACGCGAAATGTTGCGCCTGACTGGACATTGTGACAGGCTTGCCACCCGCTGCGGAGCTGATAGGAGTGAGGGACACGGGCGTGGTGCTGTCAGGGCGATATCGAGATGGCAGACTATGGCTGGCTGCACATTCGCATGGATATTGTTCTTGGATTCTGCCCTGTTTGTCCTGTATTGGCATTGCAATTATACAAATTAATGCCAGAGACAAAAAGCTCGCAGATTGTGACGCTTGTCATTGCCATTGTGTGTGCATGGATGGTGTTTGTGTCGGTGGGGGGTATGAGGTGTTTGCGGATAGGAGGGGATGGAGCGTAATTGAAATATCGCACCATTACACAATGGAACAACAGAAACAGCTGAACGGAAGAGATGCAGAGGGGAAGAGAGGGATGAAGGAGCAGATGAGGGACAACATCCACAATGATAATCAATGACTGGCGTTGCATTGGTCGCTCAATGTCAGGCCCGAGCTCCACTTCCACTCTCCAACTCAATGTTTCCCATTGTCAGCAATGCTAAAGCAAGTGGCGCCATCTTGAAGGTTGCTTACTGTACTCGTCCTTTTTCGGGACAGCAGCAGCAGCAGCTTCTGGGTGCTTCCTTTGGAGGTCGCAGAATGCAAGCAATTTCGCAGCATCGCCTTGGTTACGAAATCTCTTTGTTTGCGCTTAGTTTTGATCCGCCGTGGGGCACGCAGTTAGGCAGGCAGTCGGCTCCACCGTCTCCATCAGTCTCTACCAGTCTAGACTCTCTGGCCATCCACCAACAATGGGTAATGGGTGCCACGCATACACATTGCATAATAACTATGGCCCACTGTCGCTGGTCGCCTCTGGCCTGTCTCTTTCCCGCATCACGACAACGCACATAGTGCGCATAAATTGAATGCGACCCACAAAAATTGTTAGCCAGGCAACACACACACCGGCATCAGCAACAGCAACAGCAACAGCAACAAAACAAGCAAAATGGCATATATCACCAATCACAAATCAAACACTCGCAAAAAAACAGGCTACCTAACACTGAATGGAGCCCCACTTTGCCGACATTCGAAAGCGAAACCAAACCCAGTCCCTGCTCCGAGCTCCAAGCTCCAAGCTCCAAGCTTAAAACTCCAAACTCCTAGCTTCAGCTCCAAGCTCTGGCCTGGCTCTTACTACTATATGACTCCAATCTCTAACTTCAACTCCAACGCTGGCTGGCTGCCCAATTTCCGCGCCCATTTGGCGGCGGTTGCGTGAGAACCAAAACAAAAACCCAAAAAGAACGCTGCGTTAGTGTATTAAGACTAGGAGATACCCATTACGTCAATATCTGGTGAATTATAGCTATGCATGGGTCTGCCCACTGAGATGTAGAGGATGGAGATGGTGGACTGTTGATTCGGAGCCAGAACAAACCAAGGAGCTCCTCCACATCTCTCGACCTCACCGTACTCCATATTGGTACTTTGAGGTCTACGCGTAATTTAAAAAAGTTCAAATACAATATGTCCGCAGGCTGGGCCAAAAAATGCTCAGAGGGGAGGATAGGGGACGGTAGACTGGGTACGGGGGATTGAGACCATTAATAAAGCACTTGACAAGAGCCGCGCGAACGATACGAGGAATGGAAATGGAAATGGGAACAAGGCAAGTTATGGAAGCAGACTCTACTCGACTACGCTCGACGACCCAGTCCTCAATCCTCCATCCCTCCATCCAGTGGTTTAGTGACCATCCATGGGGTTAGAGCTCACCTTGTTCGTTGGCATTTCCTTCTGCCGCATTCGCCACAAGACACAACAGAAACACTGCCGTTTGGACAACTTCGGACAAATTTCCAATTAAACAATCGATGATGTGAAGTGATTTCGATTAAATCGAAAGGCGATCAACTGCAGCGGCTGTAGGGGCTGTAGGGGCTGCAGAGGACTGTGTGCGTATACTCCGGCCGCGCCTGTGCTGTGTGCTCTGTCTTGGCCTGCTGCCTGCTTTGCCAACTGCGGGGCAAACCCGTTCTCTTGACTGCAGCCGCCACCACCACCACCAATGATTGCCCATGTTGCACCATATTTCGAGAGCAGAGTGAGGGGGCTTTTCCATCACTCAAATTCGTATAAATAGGCCCAAAGAACGGCGAACCGAAACAGTTGCCGAGACGCAGCCCCGACCGCAGTTGCAATCCAAATAAAACCGATTGAATCGTATTTTTTTGCCACTCTTTATTGGACGTTAAACAAGCTCAAAATGGCTTTCAAGGTGCGTGTGGCAAGTGTGTGCAAGTGTGTTTGTGGCAAGCAGTATTTAAGTTGCCTTCAAAGGATCCCATTGGTACGGGGACATGACAAAGGACCTAAGGAGATACAGCCACCGATCCGTTGCAGCATCAGCACCAGCAGTTGTTATCCTTTCAAATGTTACATCTTTGGCTCCAGTCCTCTCCAGTTGCCGACACTTATCTCCGGCGGAAAGGAGGTCCCAATGTCGTCAGCCACAGCGAGTTATGATGCCAGATTCGCAGAACTGGCAGCACACTTTACCTTTGTGGCTTTTGCTTGGATCCCCCACGACAGGATAACAACGTTTGACTTGCTGCTGCAGCGGACAGGAAGGAGCTCCAGCGAAACGGATTGCTTCATGCAAACCTGGCATTTACCATCTGCCATCTGGTACCCTCCTTTGTTCTCTGGCAGTTCCCACGCAGTTGCCTGCAATCTTCCTTTTCCCGACCTCACTTGCAATGCAATTGCATTTCTATTTCAATTTCCATTCAAATTGGTGGCCAAGGCAACCCACTGGTACACGATAACGAGAACGACACCCAAAGCCAGAACCAGAGCCAGTGCCAGTGCTAGAACGCATGATAGACGCAGCTAATTATGAGTGCGACTCTCCGGGCCAAGGTCAGGTCAGGTCAGGTCACCAAACCTGACCTGGCTGTCCACTACCAGAGTAGGTGCAAGGTCAGCATGCAGAGTAGGCAGTGGGCACAGCTTAGAGCGCAGCTCCATGGCATCCCAAAGGGCATTCTCTCGCCCACGTCCTGAATGCGTTCAACAGAAGTGGAGGAGTGAAGTCCTAAGTCCAGAGGAACAAATAAGTCAAGACAAATATAGAATATAGCAGGTCATCCAAGCCTCCCATCCCATTCCCTTCAACTTTATTAAAAGTTGTTTATTTTTATACAATTAATGAATGGCGCAGACATTAAGCACTTTCCACAGCTCCAATTCACAAGTGCTGCCCACGTGGTGCTAAAAGTACTCTAATGCTTTTTCAATTTATGTAATAAGAGTGCTTTACTATTACTTGGAATACCCAGAGAGTACAGCCAGTGAGAGACATTTCTTTGTTTATACCCGATACTCAAAATGAGTATTGGGGTATATTAGATTTGTGGTAAAAGTGGATGTGTGAAACGTCCAGAAGGAATCGTTTCCGACCCCATAAAGTATATATATTCTTGATCAGCATCAATAGCCGAGTCGATTGAGCCATGTCTGTCTGTCCGTCTGTCCGTCCGTCCGTCTGTCCTTCCCCTTCAGCGCCTAGTGCTCAAAGACTATAAGAGCTAGAGCAACGATGTTTTGGATCCAGACTTCTGTGATATGTCACTGCTACAAGAATATTTCAAAACTTTGCCCCGCCCACTTCCGCCCCCACAAAGGGCGAAAATCTGTGGCATCCACAATTTCGACGATACGAGAAAACTAAAAACGCAGAATCGTAGAAGATGACTATATCTTCTAGAGTGCAAAATCTAAACCAGATTGTATAATTATTATAGCCAGAATCAAGAAAACAATTTCATTCTTTTTCGCTCTGTCTCTCTCTAACACACAGGTTTCATGGTCGGTTTTGTCAATTGCAAAATATGAGTTCAAGGATCTCAGAACCCATAAGAGCTAGAGCAACCAAATTTGGTATCCACACTCCTGTGATATCGGACCTTGACCGTTTTGTGTCAAAATTTCTCCACACCCCCTTCCGCCCCCGCAAAGGACGAAAATCTGGGGCATCCACAAATCTTAGAGGCTATTAACGCTAGAGTAACGAAATTTAGTATCCGCACTCCTGTTAGATCTCACTATAAAACGTATATCTCAAAATTTCGCCCCACCCCCTTCCGCCCACACCAAGGACGAAAATCTGTTGCATCCACAATATTGCAGATTCGAGAAAACTAAAAACGCAGAATCATAGATAATGACCATATCTATGCGGTTGCTGAATCTGGATCAGATCAGATCATTTTTATACCCAAAGGAAACAAATCAATTTGCACTGGCTACGCAGCTCCCGACGTCACGCTCAGACGGATTTTCTGTCTCTCTCGCACGCACTCTTTGTCGTGTCGTTTAATATTAGCGGCGTCTGCCGGAGGAGAGCCATACTGACTTAGTATCGGGTATAACTGTAGAGTTGCGGTGTCCGCAGAAACTCACAACGTTCCCCCTCGTTTTTAGTTCTGTTTGGTATCTTGCAACAATTCCATCCTATCTCCCAATGCAATAACTGCCTCTAACTGATACTAGAGACAGTCTTTGTGGGTCCTTCGACACAGTCAGAGACCTCTCAGTCCCCTCCTGCAAGGTCCTGCCACCCCGCATCCGTCTATCCATATCTTTCTTCTTGTTCTACTCAACTACTTTACAAAACTTAATTAAAAGTTTACTCGTCTGCAATTTCCTGCTGCGCTGCTGCTGCTGCTCCCAAAATAAACACAGGACTCTTTTCCCGGAAAAATATGGAAAAGCAAGTTCTTTCGTTCATTGGCTTTCATGGCTTTCACTCCATTCCAGGTTATTCTCTGTGTGGCCGCAATGGCGATCGCCTGCGCCCAGGCCAAGCCCGGCGGACCCGCCGCCTACTCGATCAGCGCCCCCAGCGTAGACCACGCCTCCGTGGGCAACACACAGGAGCACACGGTGAAGGGACACTACGGCCAGTCCTCACAATCGGACTACGCCAGCCAGGTGCAGACGGCCCACTCTCAGTCACATGTTCAGCGCTCGAGCATCAGCAACGACGCCGGCCTGGCCCCGGCGGCACATTATGCAGGTAAGCCTCATCCTGTCAAGGATATTGTCCGTCAAGTACCAAATACCGAGCACCAAGCACCAAGCACCACACGATCCACTCCATCCCCCTAGTGCACGTAGTTTAATGTTAACCCCAAACCGAATCTAGCTCCCGCGACTCACGCCATAGCCGCCCCCGCTATTGGCGCCTCGTACGCCTTGGGAGTGGGGCACACGGCCCCTGCCCAGATCCAGAGCCTGGCCTACGCAAGTCACGGCTATGCCGCCGCCCCAACCGTGGCCTACGGCGGCCACTACGGGCCTCAGTACGGTGGCGGCCATTATGCAGCCACGGCCCCGGCCCTGCAGCTCTCGGGAGTGGCAGTGGGACACTACGGACACATCGGACACCTGGGCCTGGGCGCAGGTCTCGGCTATGGGTATAGCGGATATAACTCCGGTCCGGCCCTGTCGCATGGCTACGCTCAGGTTGCCGCCGCTCCCGCTCAAGTTGTGAAGTATGCCGCCACTCCAGCCTACGGTAGGTGCAAGCCCGGATCCTGATGTTGCCCCTTCACCAATACCCCGCTAACTTCCGCACCCTCCGCTGCACTCTCTTCGCACTGTCACTGCTTCCGTAGTAATTTGTGAGCGATGTTCAACTAATTTTACAGAAAGCTTTCGACTCTAAAATACCACAGCCGCCATGCTGCCATGCACCCATCGGGGGTAGCTATCGATACTGCAATGGGGGTATGGGGGAAATGGGACATAGAAAAGTTATCTTCTGCCGGACTGTACTGCGGAAATTTATTGTGTTTTCGCCTCTCCGCCAAGTGCACTTGGCAAAAACAAACTCTAGGGCAAGAACAAAATACTAAGCGAAAGTTTTGCTTCCCTGGACAACAGGCTATGAGTGAGATGAAATAATGTCAGAAAGCACCCACGTAGAGAATACTCAAAAGAAACAAAAGTCGAAAATGATCGACAAAAGTCATCCCAGCGATCGATTTGATCAAAGGCTTTACCGCTTGACAGGCATGACAGGCAACAGGGATGCCCCTCTTGCATGACAGTCAACTCGCTATTGGAGGAGTCAATCGATTCAGCTGTCCGCCACCGTTCCACACACAAACAAGACACAGGATAAACTGTTTTTGTCCGTCAGCTATCGATTTGTCTTGCCAGAAACAGATAGGGCATGTGCGGCGCGAGGCACTGGGAGCGACTGACAGGAGGCCCAATGCTCGGCCATGTAATCAATCATTCATTGCCCAATTGTCCGGGGTCCTCGCTGGCCCACTTCTTTAAAGCCGTCAGCCGTCAAACACCAGTTTGGAGTCAAAGTCTTCTAGTGGCCGCCTTTCACTGCCAAAAAAGTGCACTCGTCTGCATGGTGTCCCGGCAGATTCGGAATGTCCTAGTGTAAGCCATGGGCGAGTCTCCTGTGTCTGTGTGTGTGCGCCACTTGATTGATGTTATCTTGTCGGTTGATTGCTTAGGTACCACACTCCGAGGACAGCTGTGAAATGTGTGTGGAAATAAGCCTGGACTCCGGTTCCTGCGGTTGCCGTGGACAACCTCAAAGCAGGAGGACAGGACAGTATTGTCCAAGCAGAGAAAGGACTCTCTGGCCCGATGCTAATTTGGGCAAGCTCCTGCTTGACTCTTACTCCGCATTTCTCTATTCTTTTCTCTTTCTCTTTCCCTCTTCCTCTCCTTCTTTCTCTGTTCTCTGTAGCTATATATTTCCATATATTTTTACTCTGTTTTTCCCCTCTTTGAGTGTATTTATGCTAACGTTCTGTCTCCATATTATGATCCTGTTCGCCGTATATAGCTCCTGGCATTATTGGACACGGCTACGCCCCCGCTGCGTACGCTGCACCTGCCTACGCTGCACCCGCCTATGCTACGCACCTGGGTGGCCCAGTGTTGAAGTGAGTAATGAGAAATTACGGAGTCGTTATTAATAGCGCCCCCCTAGAACCTACACCATTCTCGGACAGGTGGAAAAATATAATCGCACGCTCATCTCTCTTCCTCTCTCTCTCTCTGTCCCTCCCAGAGCCGCCGTAGCCGCACCCGCCCTGGTACACACATCGGTCTCCGGACACGGCATTCACTACGGCTACTAGGAAGGTTTCTCCGTGACCTGCACCCTGAACCGGTACCTGTACCAGTACCAGTCCCAGTACCCCCACCATTGTCACCATAAGCTCCAGTTCCAGCTCCTGCTTCTGCTCCCTCCGCCCGGACATGCATTCGTCCATCCAGAAAAGCATGCAACTAACGAACCAACGGATCCATCTGTCGCCCCGTCCCTGTCTCTGTCCCTGGCGCAGGCTAATAATAATAATAATAGGAACAATAATACTCAGAGCGTGTCGCCGGATCCGGCTCCAACTACGACTCGGGGTCCCGCTGTTCCACTCTTCCAGTACGGCTGTAAATAATGCCTTGGTGTAGCTCGACTTAATTAAAACTCGATTTGTGCACTGCAGAACGGCAGTGAGCCAGTGAAAAGTGCGGAAGAATGGGGAACAGTGACCGACCCAGGTGAACTGTGACTGTGACACGCTGCAACGTTGCCGATTTTCACCGAAAAATATGCCGCAATCCTCTGAAAGAGGGGATCCCTGGTCCCTGGTTCCTGGCACGCTCCGCGTTTTTTATTATTATTATTATGTTGTTTTTAGCTCCAGGGCTTAAGCTCTACGGGGAAAGGACCCCATCTCCAACTTCAAACACCCCCCAATGCTGCCCTGTATACTGTATGTGTTTTTTTATCGCGGTTGAATTCAAGTTGTATTTAAACTTATTTTGTAAACTGACACGAAATGAAAGTGGAAAAAATAAACCCATTGTTACTGACGACTCCCTCTATATGCGTTCGGGTGTGGTATGTCGACCTGTCGTTATATGATATATGATGCAGACATTGCATATATCGTCCCTCTATTTTGGGGAGCTGTTCTGAGATTTATTCGCCACGCCCCAGTTGATCAACGGATACTTTATGGCGCAAAACACGACATCGCATCCCCCGCGAGCCCTTGAACATACATAACTCTGGATAAACTCTGGACATACACATGTACTCGTACACGTACAGTGGGCTCCATGACAGTCAGAAGTATCGACTGCACTCCTGTTTGAATCCAAGCACTTACAGCTGCAAGACGCACTGTCCATCCACATCCGTCCATTCCCATACATATAAATCTTTTGCTGATTTTAAGCCCCCGAAATGAATAGTGCAAAGTGCAAGGGCCCTTAAAAGCCCAAAAACCCATTTACGTCACTCGCATATGGCCCAAAGTCGATATCCCATCCGTTTATTTTTGTCTTTGCCCAAAATACCCGCAGGCGCAGGAGGGTAGGAGGAGGTTAAAGGAGCACTTCTATGGCATTCAAAATGTCACTTGGTTTGAGTCGAAGTCTGTTCGCACTTCGACTCCAAGGACTCCCCATTGCACTATTCTACCACATTAATAAGCGTAAAATTTAAATAAATGCTCATCACTTTAAGCCGACAATACCCATCTAGCTCCTACTTTACGTACTACTTGATGTACTACATTCTTCTTTAACTAATTTTGCATTACTCTTGTTGGAAGTGGCCCAACATTTCCATCGATGCATTGCTGCTATCCTGTTTTGGGGTCTGTTTCCAATCTGTTCTTAACATAATTGCTGTTTTATCAGGTTTAGGCCCACTGTTGTGGTTTTTAATTTGCTGGCCTACGAGAGGGAGGGTCCTGGAGGAATCTGCAACTGACTCGAGAAGTTGCAGGCTCCTTCTGTTCCATTTAGGGGAATGTTTTCCTAATTATCCCGCTAATTACGAAGCAGGGCTTCGTCGAGTGGGGAGCTCATATTTTTGGCTCTGATTGATGCTGCTACTGCAGTAGCAGTGGAAGGTGAAGAGGCAGTTGCAAGCTTGTTGCTGCCTCAAGCCGGGGGCAAGCAGTAGTGTCCAGAGGCATGCAATGGCCGTCATGGTTGTGGCACTATTTGCTCAAGCCCCTTCTGCCATTGTCCATTATCCTGGCCTTCTCCTCTCGTTTGGGGAAATGAACAGGATGCGGTCCTACGCATACATCGCACATACAGATGCACAGATACAATCACTCACACATGTCTGCACACACGTGGGTCTATTTTGTAACTGTATTTGCTTTGCGTCCCATTCGGCTAGTTTTTCATTTCCATTTTGTTTTCTTTTTTCGGCTCCGTTTCCTCTGCATTTTGTTGTTGTCTGTCCGTTTGTCGACACATCGGTCGACACCAAAATGGGAATTTTCCATGCAAATAAGTCGAGGGGAGAGCTGGGAAAATCAGTGTCTGGCTTTCAGGCTCTCACTCTCATTCTGTGCCAAATGGCGATGGGTTTTTCCAATTAATATTCATCCGACGAAGGGATTGCGGATCTCTAATTGAATTACTTTCAAATGTTACCATCCAGTGTGAACAAGCCTTCAATATTTGTATTATTTCTTACCTTGGGTCGCGTTATGGTCGGTCAGGTCAGTCGTCCTTTGTATCCATCCCTATTTATGTTGTTCGCGTGGCTTTGTCAGCGGGCTTATTTTTTCCCTCGTTCTTTTCCCCTCTACTTTTCTAATGCAATTGTCGTGTTTTTGGCTCTGGGTCCCACTGTTCCTTCAGCTGTTTCTTGGCAGCAGTATTTCTTGGCGTTAGCTTCGACTTACAGTTTACATTGGCAGATGCAGAGCGCAGATGCACCCAGAGCGATGCCGTCCTTGGTAGCAGGTGGCCAGAGGAATCCTCAAGGACGTTTCGCTAATGCCATTCACTGTGATGAGGGAGATGCAACTCTGGAAGCCACATGCTTCGTTCACCCACCTGTTCGTAAGCGAGTGTGCAGGGTGTGCAGAGTGTGCACCCGACAAAAATTCGATGCAGACTTAAATGCAGATAGTGGCTTCTCTCAGATACACATGTGGCAAACACTCGAATGATGCAAACCAATACGAGAGGTCTTTATATGTCCAGTCCTTGACATCCCTCTGGGGGTACCCAAGGCGATTGCCATCCATTGTATCCTTTGAATTCTTTCACTGCCTCCCACCCCCACCATCGCCAAAGCCGGCAGCAGAAAAGGCTTTGCTTTGCCATGCATTTCCATGGATATTGTATCTATTAATAGAGCCACCTTCCGCCTTCCCACACCAGATACCCAATTGTGGTGGTGAGCTGATAAATGGGACCATTGAAGCTCCAATGCGATTATAAACTCTACAACCACTCTCAATGGGAACAAGCAATCTGTTTTCTTCTCCAAGCCACAGAGTAACCCAGCCACCCATCCATCGAAAGTGGGCAGAAGTTGGTGGCGGAGATTAGTGATGAGAACGGGGGAAGAGCGAGAGTTCGATGATGCTTCGTGGTTGCAGATGATAGTCCACAATATCGTGCGGCGATGTTCTTGTTCCGTGTCATTCAGAGATTGATAAAATCACACATACGACACGCGTTCCAACCCTCATTCGTGACTCCTATTCTCTCTGAGCAGAGACCCTAACCAGAGATCCGACCCCTCGTAAACAGAGATATCCGATTTCATCATTCCTAACCATTTTTGCATTTGTTCACTTTGAATTTTAACAAAAAAAAAGAGCCTTAATAGATCGAAAAAAAAACTTAAGAGAGAGGCGGATCCTGTCGCTCCTCCTTCTTCTGCTGACTAGAAATTGTAGTTAAGATTGCCACTGCTGAAGCTCACGTGGGAAACGTCCGACGAAGGCTGGAACGATGAAGAACCCAGTACGGAGGACATTGGGACGGCCATTCCGTAGCTCTGGGTGGTTGTTGGGGCCAGTTGGCTGCTGGCAAACTGCTGTTGTTGTTCGCGCAGCACGTCCTGCTGCTGCTGCTGAAGGAAGCCCATGTGCTGCTGGGTCGAGTAGAAGTCGCCACCCGAGCTGGCAGGGACACCACCTCGGCCTCCTCCTGATCCTGAGTAGATGTCGCCCGCTGAGTAGGCGGCACGAATGCCCTGTCCTTGAGCTCCTCCTTGGCTGACGGAGAAACGTCCAGCCTGCTGCTGCAGACCGTTGGAGCCGAACTGCGGACGACGATAGACGAAACGCGATCCAGCGGCTCCTGCGGAATCTGGTTGGGTCTGTGGCAGGGCCTGGGACTGGGACTGGCCCTGGCCAGGTGCTTGGGGCTGTCCGATCGACATGTCCGGATAGAAGTGGTAGAGCTTCTGGAGCAGCTGTTGTTGCTGCTGCTCAAACTCCACACGCTGGCGCTGGTAGTCAATGAAGGCAGCCTGCATCTGGTCAGCATAGGTGGGCACGGGGGCGCGCTGTCCTGCGGCAGCCACGTCGGGAGCTGCCACTCCCGGCTGTGCAAGAAGTTGCTGCTGTTGTTGCAGCAGCTGCTGGGCCTGAAGTTGTTGCTGCTGTTGCAGCAGCTGATGCTGCTGCTGGGGAGTGGATACAGCAGATGTCTTGAGCTTGCCCCCACGCCCAGCTGGCACGCGTCCTGGAGCCTGCTGCTGATACACAGACGAATATTGAGGTCCTGCTGCCGAAAAGCCAGGGAATGGAGTAGGATTTCGCTGTTGAAAGAGAAAGCGAAAGAAAGGGAGAAATGGGAGACGAGTTAGAAGTGTCTTTGAAAGAACTGAGCACAGTGAACCGCGATAATTTGCCCCGCTATCCTAACGCATTGAGACCTAAAGAAGTCTTACCAGTCTCTCGCCATGGCTTTGTGCACGGGCTTTGTGTGATCTCATTTTTCGCTGATGAAAGGATCCCACTGCTGAACAACTGAAGTGGAGATATGCGGATTGTTGCCGAAGGAACGACCTAATTTGTGGCCAGTTCAAATGTTTTAAATTCAAAATCTAAAATCTAAAAAATTATATTTTGAGAGCAAAAATTACAAATACACCGAACCGATACGCACTGACGAAGCGAACAAATGAAATTAAATCAGATGTTAGATGTCAAATGGATACCCCAATGAGCCCCTGACAGCTGTATATACCTGGAACCGTTAATCGGAAGCCTACTGAGATCTCGTATCCCAATCGTATTGCTCACGCGATGCCAGCCGCCTTAAAAGCAGGGAGTGGACCGTGGACTTGTCACAGTGGAGAGATGAGGTCTCAGGTGATTGGATTGCTCGTCGGACTGGTTCTGGGTCTGGCTTGGGGCCGACCGCAGGGCCCCTTCGATAATTTGGCGCTGGGCGCCATGAACGTGGCCGCCAATATAGCCGAGGCCGTGCAGGGAGGAGCTGCCATCAATCGGGATTTGAACTTCGATAATCCCTTAATGACCGTGCACTCGAAGACGGCCGTGGGCTTTGGGGATGCCATGCGGCAGCCTTCAGGCGGCGACTCCTCCGAGTCCGAAGAGCGAAGGAGACGGAGGAAAAGACGCAGCTTACGCCGGACCAAGCGGATCAAACGCGCGCCCTGTCACTGGAAAATGTCAATGACCACCGAAGCTGCCGGCGACGATGAGGTGGAGGCGCGCAAGAAGCGGGCCCGCAAGCGAGCCGCCAACAACGCCTCCAGATCTCGCATTACTCTCAAGAAGATCACTAAGAAGAGCAGCAAGAAGAAGCTCCTTCGAAGGAGACGACAAATGCCCTCGGAGGGAGCTGGTGGCGGACAGCAGCAGGCAGCGGCGACCCTCGGCGACCGCCTCAAAGTCATGTGGCTCTCCCTTGTGGACAACGTAACGGATGTGGTGCAGCAGATGCGTCAAAAGATATCCAGTGCGGTAGGAGCAGCCAGTGCCGGTGGCAACTAGGTGGGAACCCCACCGAAAGTGTTTTTTTTCGTCTTGCATATAAGTATAATAAAAGTAAATGGAAACCAGATCTAAATGGAAAACATGAGCAGCTCCAGGAAGGGAGGGAATCAGGTAAATCATGGCATGACACTACCATGATATTATCGGATACCATGGGACATGGGACATGGGTCACGCTTTCCACTTCCGGCCCAAAGCATGAGAAGCATTTGAACATTAACGTGGAGCGCCTAATCAGACGTCAATTTACAATCTGCACGCTTATCTCAGTACAAAAGCGGGTATTGAGCGACTATAATTCAACAGTTGGCCAAATGACTTCCGCACTCATCTACGCGCTTACTCTGATATTCGTGCTGAATGCGGCCAATGGTGAACGGGCGGCAGTAGATGAGCTCGACGTGGACTACTCCAACGAGTACGACGATGTGCGGCCCCATCTGTTGTACCCGGACGAGTCGCGGCTGGACAGGCAAATCAGCAATGCTGCTCGGGACTTCGAGCAGGGTATCAGCAATGCCTGGCAGTCGATAGTGGATTCAGTCCGCACCTATTTCGAGCAGCTCAAGAATTTCTTCAGCGATGGACGCGAGCCCAATGCCGGCAACGAAGTATTCTCCATGGATGCATAGCATCTGATCTGGTTGCTTTTGACTGAATAAAGTTTGATGGAATACATGGGAATATGATCTTATTAAGGGAATGTACTCCAACAGAGGTCGGGTGTACGTAAATTGGTTATTTCGTTAAACACCTATCTTTTTTCGACCTAAGCGATATGGCAATTATATCACATGCAACACAAACGTGAACGACGGCCATTATGCCATGATATCTGTCACTACATTTATCTGAATCTACGAATCCGAACAGGAAATACTTCGAAGAGGAAGCTGCATCAGCGATGCAACCGAGTAATTAAGAGATACCGATTCCCACCTCGCGGCTAGTTGGATTTGTTGTCCACAAAACATGCTTAAATATTCCACTGGCCTCGAAGCAGCTTCCATTTCCATTGCTGAATCGAATCCATTATGATGACACTCCGTCTGACTCTGTTGCTGGCTGGTTGGTGGCTGTTGGTGGCCTGCACTGCCGCTCGACCACAGGTTAGGCGACGCGAACCCAAGGGGAGATATTCTAAGCTATTCTAACCTACTTCTAACTTCGACAGGATCTGGGCACTGGCATGGCACTGGCCATGGGGCAGGTGAAGCAGCTGATGGAGACTGGCGGTGGTGCGCGCCAGCAGCAGAGCGTTGAGGTTCTGGGCCAGAGGGTGGACGGAGCTATGAACCTGGGCTTTGGCGAAGCCATGAACCTGCCTCTGTCTGGCTAAATGGGGGAAACCAGAAATCACTAGCACTTGCAGATGATATGCTAGACTCCATTGTAAAATGGTGAAATATATGTTCGTTTTCCAGCACTCGACTTACCAGTTGCTCCTCCTGCTGTGGCTGAAGCTGTGCCTGTTCCTGTTCTTGTGCCTGTGTCTGGAGCTGCTCCTGCTCCTGCTTAGCCGCTCCGTAATAACGGGTGAATGTCTGCTGCAACTCCGGCGTCTTCACGCTGTAAGAGTTCGTGTTGGCATCCGTGTGGAAGGAGACCTGCGCCTGGCAAGCTTCCTGCTGGCCGGCCAGGACTAGGCCTGCCATTATCAAGGCCACTGCAAGCATGTCCGCGGGAGAATGATTTACGGACGAGCACTAATTGTAATTGGTTCTACTCGAAGCTCGTGCTCTCCGTTGCCACGTGCGGCTCGTTATCGGCTGCTTATCGGAGTACGCGACACGGCGAAAAGCGACTATGAATGTGCAGCGCCCGCTGTCTGCCCCAGCATTATATATAGTGCCCCAGCGGTTCGATTAACCAATTCTTCAGCGACTGTCAGCGACTCTCTCTTCCCCCCTCGCCCAATCACCTGCTCTCTTTTTTACCCCCATTCGCTTACGACATTTGCTATGCAGAAACGGCAGACGGCCAAAAAATCGTGAGTGTTTCCACTACGTGTCACCACCCACCTACTTAGGGTAAAATCATCCATCTCTGTGATAATATCCTTTAATAGAATTTCAGTGATCGATTTCGATAATTTGTTCGTCTCTTGGATCCCTGGGAAATGTCGACACTTCTGGAACGCCTTCTCCAATATTATAATGCTCCATAATTGCATTTTTATTTTAATTTTTCTGTTTTCTTTTGTTTTTCTGTTGGCTGTTGATAACTTTCTTTAAACTTTTTTTCCGTTTGAGAGCAATGTGTTCGGAATATGGAATGTGCAGACGGAAAAAAAAGAGGCAACGTTTTGAGTTGCTGCTACGGCCGCCACTCTACATTTAAACCCGATACTTAGTCTGTATACCAAAAGTGCTTGCTCTAGCTCAAATGGTCTCTGCGATCTGTGGATGACACAGATTTTTCGTAATTTGTGAGGGCGGAAGGGAGCGAGCCGTTGCTCGTTGCTCTAGCGCTTATAGTCTATGACAAGCATGGCTCAATCGACTCCTCTATTGATGCTGATCAAGAATATATGCATATATGGTCGGAAACGCTTCTTTCTGGACGTTACACACATCCACTTTCATCGGAAGTCTAATATACCCCTATACTCATTTTGAGTATCGGGTATAAATACACGAGCAACAGCAGCAACGAGAGACATGTCGATTCCGATGTCGATGGCAACTCCAATTCAAATTGAATACGCTCTTTGGCACTTACATAACAATCCTCCCCCGCTGGGTCCAGTACCAGTGGCAGTTGCAGAGGCCGAGGCAGTGGCAGACAAAAACTAAACATAAACACGGGCATAAAATGTTGTTTATGGGAACGTGCATGGAATAACCGAAAAAGCCCGTAGCGAAACCCGCACAGAGAAACAGACATGAAACAGACGGACAGTCTCTCTGGAATGGCAGAGCGTTGCAAAAATCGTTGTGGCAGGAGCCACGATGCGGAAGCGGGGTTAAGGCCAACAAGAGTAGCAAAATTGGCTCAATTGAAATGCAGTTTCGGCCGCAAGCGCTTTGCTGACCAAAAGAAGGAATGGGAATGGGTATGGCACAACGATTATGAAAGCAGCAGGCAATGGATAATGATCACTTAACGCGGAGTTACGGCTACCTGAAGCGGCAAACGGTGCGTATACGTGACCGTCATACATTTATTTACGCGCATTTCATTACGCCTTGGATCCTATCCGACGCATATACGGTACGTCCGCTCGAATGTAATTGAAGGCGCATTTCACACGTTTCAAAGTTGTGTGTCGTCTCATTCGAATGAGACTCGTGGCCAGCATATGTATGGCAGGTGGCATGGACCGCTCTTTTGGGCCAGATACTCGTATTCGTGCAAGGGGGTGAATTACAGCTAAATCCATAACTTTATCTCAATGAGAATGAAGCGTCTCTGAGGCTCTGAAGGCAGTCACGGAACTGCATTTCTTCTATTGGCCACTCCCCCCTGGCCATTCTCCATCTGAAATGGTTGCCTTTTCCTTGTAATGGCTGGTCATTAAAGTTGACTTTTCCAAATGAAATGCTTGTCAGTTTACGATTACCCGCCATAAGCCATCGAAATAAGTAGCACAAATTATGCAGAGACTCCCCCGTTCTAACTAATATAGAGACCTGGCGCTCGAATTCAACTGGAATCCAGAAAAGGAATTGAGGGCAGCGGAGGGTATTGTAGCGGAGGAAACAAGTAAATCTAGCCAGCTGCTAAATACGCCACTTAATCATTTTACTGGGTCAGGGGGTCACGGATGGACTAAACTGGCGCCCTGGCTGATGCTGAGGCGCCCTGGGCCGAAGTGACCTCCCAGAGAGGCACAGAGAAAGCGACAGAGAGACTGCTTTTGGGGCTGTTAAACCCTAGTTTAAACTTTTGAACTCGCGCACTGACCCTATTCCAACCGCCACTCCCCTGCGGCACCTTCTCTCCCTTGGTGGCGAATGCTGCGTTCATGGTTCGGCTGCGAATTATTTTCTGGTCCCGTTTTTAGGGCGCTGCCTTCTGCATTGGCACAGATTATATTGGGGCGACATGGCCTCCTATTTTCCCATGCCGACACCCCGAGCGGTGGGGCCCCCTGCTGTCGTAAGGGGGGGCTTACTTATGGCCAAAAGGAGCCAAAGGCAAATAGCAAGGGCCAAAAGAGATTTTATGGCGCATGGCACAGAACAGAGCTCCAAGCAAGGTAGTACAGTAAGCCCCACCGTTGATGGTCTCACCCCACATAGTCAGAGCAAATAAAACGATGTCAAAGATAGATAGATATATATTTGCTTTTGTGTGCTTTTAACTCACATACAATTCTCTTTTTATTAGTTTCGCACTCTCCAACCTCTACATTCTCCACAAAACGCCACAAACAGCGACAAAAAAAACATCTTATTCGATATAAACACGTAGAGACAAATACATACTCGTGCATACATGTATGTATCTATACATATGTATATGGATAAACATACATCAAATATCTATATATATATATATCTGAAGAGGGTCTGTCTGGGATGTCCTCTGAAAAGTATGCCCAATCCTTGACAATTTTAAGCTTAATCTACAAAAAAACGTGGCTCCTCCCTGCCAGGAGATCCACTAAACAATATCCTCCTAAAACCGCGATCAAAGTGTCTGGCAGGAGCGAACTCTGATTTGGACTTCTTTTTGGGAACCAGAGGTCTTTCATCTCTCAAACTGTAATCGAGTGTGTGTATCTGCATCTGTGTATCCATATCTGTGTATTGTAGTTCTTCTACGTGGCTCAGAAAAAGATATCCATGCGGTGTGCGCTTATGATTTATTTTAGTACATAATATGTACTACATATTCACTTACATAAAGTATTTCGTGTATTTTGACATTTTGCATTGATTTAACATTCAATAGACTTTGCATTTGGTTTGGTAAAATATCAATATTTCTCTTAGCTGTCAATATTGTATATATAGTATAATATAAAATAATATAATATAATATATGTAATATAATATAATATAATATAATATAATATAATATAATATAATATAATATAATACAATATAATATAATATAATATAATATTATATTATATTATATTATATATCGTATTATCATAGCCTATATATCCATATACTCGTATCCTTATATGTATGTATGTTTAATAGGGAAAAGTTTTAAAATCATCTGCATCTTGACGCAACTGATCCGCATTAGATTCGATGATTAGCAACATTTAAAAGATATACGTAGATTACGATTACGTGTTCAAGTAGAGTACATATGATGGGGGTCCCTAGACCGGGCTGTCCTTGGCACATTTACCACATTTACAATTTTCCTTTAACCGATTCTTATGGGGGACTTCGATTCCCCTACTAGATCTGATCAGCCTTTGATCTGCAGCTGATGTCCGAAGAAAACCATTCATTCAACAATCAATCAATCACTCAATCAATCAACTTAACAGTCAACAACCAGGTTGTTTTAGTATTCAAATAACTATGCATATCCTCTGTATCTGTACCAGTATCTTTATTTTTATCTGTTTCGGTTATCTGTAGTATTTTTTTATCTTTTGAGTTTTTTCCAATATGTTTCTAGTGCTTGATTAACCGCCTAACAATTCTCTGAGCAAACTTCGCTGTACCTTTAAAGGCCCTGCTTCAATCGCCATGAATATTG